ATGCGATGGCTGAAAGCCAAGACATGCAGAAAGAATATACAGATGAAAGAAGCAGAGGAAACGATGTAAACTTTGAGGTTGGCTGCCTGGTTTTATGTAAACTTGCTTCAGCCGTACCTGGATCCAGCGCAAGTGAACGCGGAAGCGTTGGTGTCGAGGCGGCGTCCACAGGCGCTCGACAACCCAGAAGCTGAATCAGCAGCTGATTCTGAGCACGGAGAACACCGATTTGCATCTCCAGCTGCGCCAGGCGCTTACCATCGCACTAAGTGATGCATTTGTCTGCTCGACGGCTTAAAGCCACTCCGGCAGAGCGCGATATACTCAACGTGAGGCAATCTGTGCCCAAAGTTCTCCAGGCTCTCGAGGCCTTCCGCACAGCGGTATGCGACCTCAGCATGATGATCAGCGGAGGCCCAATGGCAACGGACCTTGTCATCAAAAGCTCGAAGAGCATCACGACTCACCTGACGGAGATCGACCAAGTCGTCATCGTCAGACTGGTGACGTTCACTACTACGTGGTACGCCTTGTGGGCTGACGTCGTCGACAGGGTCAAACCCAGCTTCTTGGCAGTAGCCCAGGAAGCCGAAGGAGCATGAGCTGAGCTCAAGCTATGACCCTGGGCTGCTGTGATCGTAGACTCATCCGTCTGAAAACCCACAGAGCTCGCGCTCCCGCGATTGAGATTTCCATGTGTCGCAGAGCGACAATACGCAGGAAGTCGGCGTTGTGCCTTGCGTTGGGCAGCCTTAAATCGAAGATGGCGCCCTACGTGCACGTCCGCTTCCTTGTGGCTTCGCTGTAAAGTAGACAGTGAGGTACGTTTCCGGTACCGCTGCACCCATCGCTCAAAGAGCTCCTCATCATCTGCAGCGGTTCCGTCATGGGCGAGCACCACAGGGACAGTCCGCATTGCGGGTACAGGAGCGCTTCTTTTTTTGAGCTCGAAGTCGTGCGCGGTACCGATCCATTGGGATTTCTTGTGGTACCAAAAAGCGAGCTCGGAGAGCTTTCCGCTGATCAAGCTCAGCTTGTGTAGTGGCCGGGGGACCGCGAAGACGCGATCACTTGATCTTTAGGCGTTTAAAGATCGATAATCGCGTCTTTCGCTTCTGTTTGGGATTCGCCGAACGGAAGCCGTACTTCACTCGAGGTTCTAGGACTGAATGTGAATACGAGCGCATGAGAGCCGCCCCTCTAGTTGCTGCTCCTGTGCCTCGTCGAGGTGATAGGTAACAATACCACTTCCCCCAGAAGTCGAGAGGTCGGAAAACGGACACGGTGTCCACAAAGTCCGAGCTGGGCTCACGTCGCGCCGTTGGCGCATCTCATCCTCCTCGTTTCCCATGCTGAAAGAAGTGTATCCGACTCGTTGTCGACTTCCCCCAAATCCTCGACGAGATATCCGTCGCCCGGGCGGGCGCGGTCTGTGGCGCTCGGTTACCGAGGGCTTGGGGTGTGCTTTCCGTGAAACCGCGGACGTACTGTCCAGAGATGCACCCCATGCAGAAGAAGAAGGTCTCTGCCCTCGGAACTAGCTATCTGTGTGCTTTGCGTGCCATAATCGCAGGCCCCATTGAGCGGAAAATGTTCACAGATGTACTACTTAAGAACGTAATGTTGACTCAGACACGCAATCCTCGTATGAGGCGACAGTTAAATGTGAATTGTGGATGTTCAAAATTTTGATGGGGGAGAGTGTAACGGAGAGTAACACATACCCTTGTATGAAAGGGCAGGTCACACAAGTTGTTGTGAACGTACATAAATGTGGAATTCGCAAGTTGGTGTAATCACACAATGCTGTGGCTACACCGTAACAAGAAGCCGCTACTTGGCAGGGTTGCCTGTAGTTATGCAATCAAATTAGGATTTACTATGGATATTAAGTATTACAATATTAATAAAAAAAATCTAAATTGGCGGCTCTGCCGCAACTAAAACAAATAAATACAGTTTTAATTTTGAACGGAAGAGTCTCTTTACTAAGTTACGGTTTTAAATACTCTTGGAGGCGATCTGCCACACTCGCACTGGTTCTTGTAAAGAACGTAAGGCCGGTGCCCTAAGCTGAGCTTCCTTTAAGCAATGAGCTACGGCAGCCCCGCTGCAGCATAGCTGAAATTCATTGCTCGAAGGGCTACTATGGTGTACATTCCAACTTAGGCGTTTCGAATTAGAGTTGGATTCGTCATTCAATACCACATTCATCGTTTCTTCAAAAGTAGACGGATGCACACGATATACTTCCATTCTAGCCACGCCAGTGCGAAGGCCATTCATCAAGACTGTCAGTGTGACCGCCTTGGGGAGAGAATCGGCTGCCATCCCGGAAATGGGCAAAGTCCATCAATTCCTTCTCGCCCTGCCGGGCATTAGAAACGCGATCACACGCGAAATGCCTGGTTAGGCGGCGAGAACACTCGTAAAAACTGACGCTTCAGCTCCTTCCAGGAGGCTCCAACCGAAGTACCGCACGTCAGTGCCTATTCTTGTGCTCGACCATTGATCATGGAGATAGCTAGTGCCACGCGCTGTTGCTCGGTCTGGAGCATGGCGGATGCCATAGCAATCTCGGCCTACCTTACCCAGAGCAGTAGACTCTTTCCATCATTACCCTCGATGGTCTTAACGATCACTTTGAGCGGCCTGGGCCGATAAGAGTTATCCGTCGTCGACGGTGGGTTATGGACGCAATCCACGCCGACAGCTTCCGCTATAGGTGCTCCAACTGAGCATTATCATAATTATCTCTAGGCGCGTATCGCGGTAGGTCCTTGCGAAACAAGGTGTTGCACGCCCTTTGGGCAAAGCAGGGACATAAGATTTTTATGTCCGGCCTGCATGCCCTGGGTTAAAAAGAAGATTTGCTCCATCTCCACAGGAACGACTCAGGCGTAGATTGACCACAAGTGCAACCTAGTGCAGCGGGGCTGCCGTAGCTTTTCGCTTAGAAGAAGCTAAGCTAAGGTCAATTCAAGGGTTGTACCAGAACCAATATGAGTATAGCGGATCGCGATTTGCTAACTCCAAGAGTACCCAAAACCTTAACCCAAGGCAAATACACTCTTCCGTTAGAAAACAAACTGTATATCTTTTGTTTTATTTTGCGCCTATATCTAAATCTCTAAGTTTTCCCGATTAAATAGTAAAACATATTTAAAGTGCATATATACTGTTCCCTCCACGTAGTGGCTTCTTGTTAAGGTCTAGCCACACCGTCTTGTGTGACCCACCCCTTCATACGTGTAAGCCCGTTACATGTATCGTCTACAAATACCACGGGACTGCTCAGCTGAAAGTTTGTCTATATTATTATTTATAGACGTAATGACTTCTCAATTTTTACCTAGCTATCAAAATATACTATACTATAACAACTCTGATATATAATCTAAAAGTACGTGAAAACATTTATGGTTACATCACCTTAAAATCTGTTGATCAATGAACAAACGATCAAAAGACGGCCGGGGGACGTGACTCCTGGTGGGGAGCTTGGTGAATCCCAAACACCAAGTAACCGCTTCTTAACTTTAACCGTAGTGGACCCGAACTCTCACTCATCAGATTGAAGGCACCACTCTAAACCACTGAGCCAAAATCCATGTCGAAATTGGAAGTGTAAAAACCAATACTTACGCGCACATTTACCTTGAGAACCTTTGAAACTCACACGAAGACTTGTCCAACAATGAGAACGTTGCCTTGGACATCTCTTCCGTGTATCTTCACTCTTTAACTCTTC